GGTAGTATGAACATCTTAACAATATTAAGTCCATGAACTCAGGATGTCTTTCCATATATTTGTGTCTTCTTTAATTTCTTCCAGCAATGTTTTATAGCTTTCATTGTAAAAGTCTTTCACCTCTGGTTGATTTATTCTTAAGTATTTTATCATTTTGATGCTATTATATATGAAATTGTTAATTTCTTTTTTGGGTTGTTAATTATTAGTCTTTGAAAATACAATTGATTCTCTTAATCTTGCACACAGGAATAATGTTAATCTTCCTTTTCAAATTGGATGCCTTTTATTTCTTTTTCTTACCTAATTGCCCTAGCTAGAATAACCACTATGATGTTGAATAGAAGTAGCAAAGGTAAGCCTCTTACCTTGTTCATGATTTTGGAGCAAGAGCTTTCAGTTTTTCATCATTGAGTATGAAATTAGTTGTGGGTTTTAATATATTACTGTTACTATGTTGATGTAGTTTCCTTCTATTTCTAGTTTATTGAGTGTTTTTTATCATGAAATGGAATTGCATCTTGTCAGATGCCTTTTCTGCATTCATTGAGATGATCACCTGATTTTGGGCCTTCATTTTGTTAATGTGGCATATCAAATGGACTCTAATATGTTGAGGCATCCTTGTTTTCCAGTAATAAATCCCACTTGGTCATGGTGTATAATCCATTTAATATGCTATTGTTAAAGCCAGTTAGCTAGTGTTTTGTTCAGGATTTTTGCATCAATATTCACCAGGAATATTGCTCTATAGTTTTATTTTCTTGCAGTGTCTTTGGCTTTGGTATCCAGGTAATACTGACCTCATAGAATGAATTTGGAAATGTTCCCTCCTCTTCAACTTATTGAAGAGTTTTAGGAAAATTGATATTAATACTTTAATATTTGGGAGAAACTCCCCAGTGAGGCCATTTGGTTCAGATTCAATCTCTTTACTAGTTACTGCTCTGTTCAGATTTTCTGTTTTTCAATGATATAACCGGTAGATTGTATATTTCTAGGAACTTATCCCTTCTAGTTTATCTAATTTTTTGGCCTACAATTGTTCATAGTATTCTCTTATAATCCTTTAAATATATATATATATGGTTGATATTGGTTCTAATGTTCCCTCATTCATTTTTTATTCTATTTATTTGAGTGTTCCCAAATTAACATTGCTCAATATAAAACTGCTCAACAAAAGGTGTACTCCCCTGTTGTAGTATGGTCAGTTCTTGCCTTATATGTTTTAGAGCTGTAATATTTGATGGACACAGTATGTGATTATTCTATCTTCCTAACTGATTGCAACTGGTGTTATTACACAGTATCTATTTCTAGCAATCTTTTAAAATATAAAGTCTTTGTTATTAGTGTAGGTACATTGCTTTTCATCAGGATTAGCTTTTTGCCCCACAGTATATCTTTCCATTCCTTGCTTTTGAATTTTCTAAATCCTTAAATTTTAATGTCTAAAGAACTTGCTTATGGATGGATTTTATTATTTTATATAGAATTTCAATATGGGTCATTTAGTTCACTCACATGTACTTAGTAACTATTCCTCTGGGTTTATTTCTATCACCTACTGGCTCCATGTTTTCATGTTTTCTTTGAATTTGTTGTATTTTTCAAACACCATTCCACAGTTTCCTTTTCTAACCTTTAGATTATAAAGTGTTCAGAAAATTGCAGTTTCCCAGAAGTTTTTAAATATATTTACTTCATTCATCAAATTCCATTTACTTATAGCATATTTTTGTTTTCTTCCTTAACAACAAAAGAATATTGGAACACTTTAACTTAAATTCTCACGTCCTGATCAGCGCTGTCGTTATCATTTGTACTTGCTATTTCAGTGTTTAACATTACTATTACTGATTTATGGTAAATATTTATTAAGATGCATCCATATTCACCACGTCCTTTATTGTTTCTTCTTTCATGTCAGCCTCTCCTACTGTGATTGTTCTCCTTCAGTTTGAAGTCCATTCTGGAAATACCACAAGCAAGGGTGCTTAGCCAAAAAGTCTCTCAATTCTTACTTGTTTGAAAAATGTCTGTAGTTCATGCTTGTTTTTAAAAGAGACATACACTGTGTGTATTCCAAGGGCGACAGTTATTTTCTTTCTTACCATTGAAGATATTTTTAAAATTATCATTCAGCCCCAGTATCCCTTCTGAGGGGTCAGCACTAGTTTAATATTGTGATTTTAGTAAGCCATCTGTATTCTCTCTGGCTCCTTTCAAGAAGTGCCCTTTGTCTCAGTATTTGGCCATGTCCCTATCGTGGGTATAGGCATAAATTTATTTTTATTTATGCTGCTTAGAATTCACTGGTCTTTTTGAATCTGGAAATAGATTTTTTTCCATCAGTTTTAGAGATTTCCCAGCCCTTCTGCCTTCAAGTATTTTTGCATCTCCTCTATTCATTCTCTCTTTCCTTCTGGATTAGATGCATATTAAATCTTTTAACTTTGTCCTCCATGTTTCTAAATCTCTTTATAATAGTTCCCAGGTCTGCCTCTCTGTGCTGCATTGTGGATAATTTCTTTACATCTATCTTTCGGTTCACTAATTGTTCTGCAACGTCTTAATCTGTGGTTATATGCACCCACTGAGTTTTCTAATTCTATTATTATTAGTTTCTAGAAGTTCTACAACTTTTTCTCTAAATATTTTTGATTATTTTTATAGTTCTTTGCAAGTTACTCATAGTTACATTTTCTTTTTTATTTTCGGTATATAGTACATACTTACATTTTGCACACTGTGCATATTTCCAGTATTCTATGTTTGATTGTGCAGGAGACTCTAACACATGGTCCATTTTTCCTTCAGTGTTTCATGATACTTGAAAAAACTCATATATATTCTTTAATTTTTAATGTGAAAATATGTTGAGACGTAATTTGAAAGCAAACTCTGCCAGAGAGGTTTTGCCTTTACTAGGTACATATGATTGTTTTACTGAAACTGTATCCTTGCTTTGAAGTTTTTGTAACTACCCAGGTAGTGAAAATTAAGGCAGCAAGTTGAGGTCTGAATTTTTAGGAGACATTTTTTTCTTTTTCATTCATCACCAAGTGTTTAGGGGCAAGGATTAATTTTGTAGGTTCTTCCAAAGTGAATGTTTGTATCTAATTTCATGCTACACTCAGGCAGTACAGTCATTGTGATTCAAGCTTTATCCTGTGAGTTGGTCATTCATTGAATCCCCTACCTGGGAGTCCTCCCACCTTTTCTGTCTCTCATCTTTATGCCCTAGGAATTAATTAAAAAACAAGCCCTGGGTCAAATTCTCCAGGATCACCTCTGTGTTTCTGGCTTTCCATTTTCTGTTTCTGACAGGCTTTACTTTTTTGTCCTGTTAGCAGAACATTTATCAGAACCTTTTTCAAATTTTATTCATTATTTTAAAGTATTTTCAGATAGATGTCCAGTCAAGGTGTTTAGTTAGCTGTAATGCTGAAAAAGAGGGTACAGCTGGATTAGAAAAATGAACTGATTATAGATGCTGGAAGGATGCTAAAAATGATGTGTACTATTCTAAGAAAAAAAATGCAAGGATAAATTAATTGATCTCTTAGTCATAAAGACCTGGAGATAATGGAAGCTCCTGACATGTACAGTTACCTGAATGGGGGTTGAAAGTTCGAGAAGGCAAGATTTTATGACAGACAGCTTCCTGCACATGCTATGGGACGACATTTTAGGCTCAAGACCATGTGGTGCTCCCCAGAAGAAATTTTAGACTAGGAAGAAAAAAAGAGTAGAGCAGTTTTACAGTAAGTATGATTTACATTGATATATTGACAACTCAGAATATGGTAATTTTCCAATCTCTTCCTTTGTTCCCAGTTAAGACATGAAGTCTCCAGTCCCTTTACACGTGGGGAATGGGATTTATGTCTTTCTTGTATACATGCTAGCATAGATCGTCAGGGATGAATTATATTCTTAAGGACAAAAACACTGTGGGGCTCTGATACCACAATTTGTAGTTTCCAGGACAAGCAGAAGAGTCCGAACTCTGATTTATTGCAGGACGAAAGAAGCATGAATATATCTTTAGAGCATTAGGATTATGTTTGGAGGATTCTCATGGCCTGTCTCTCTGTACCCTTAAGTAAAGCGGGGAGCCTTGCACACACCTTCCATTTTCCTCACAGACTTTTCCCTTGAAGGTAGGTGTAAGAGCATAAACACAGCAGAGACACATAGAAAGAGAATTGGGAGTTTTATTTTGCTCATGTATTGTATATTTTCCGTACATATCGAGTACCTGTTATGTGTAGATACCCTCCTTTGTTGGTTTGCATGAGGTTTATGTCAGAAGTGTTGCACCTACAGAACTTAAAATCAACTTGAGAAAAGAAAGGGTAAAAACATGCAATTGTAACACGTTAGGGATAATTAAGTTCTAAACCTGTGGTACTGGGGAGAAAGCTGTGCTTTGTGTGAGGTTGACTGGGGGAAAAGTTTCCTGTAACAAATGGAACTTCATTTGGGGATATGGAAAATTTATATTTATGTGGGAATAGGAAATGAATCACACACGATGGTATGTCAGGGAGTGGGAACGGGCACAAAGAAGGGAGAACTAAACACAAAGAAGTAACTGTATTGATGAAAGGAGATAGAAATACTGAAAATCAAGGTTAGAAATAGGCTTTAGTCACATAACAGAAATCTTACAAACCATGGGAGAAAGTTTTATTCTATTATAGACATATTGGTTTGGATTATATTACGTATCACAGTTAATATGAAGCTACTGAAATTCTTGGGCAGAGGGCTGACATGGAAGTGATCAAAGTTTAGCTTCATCAGGAAATGTAGACTATAGGATACTAAATGGGATAAATTTATGGGATAAACTTAAGGTCGAAACTTGGGAAAACCCTACCTATGAATAATGTGCTCTTTATTTGGTTATTTAAAAATAAAATATGTATTAATTTATATTACATAATTTAAAATATTAATGGGCATAAATGTATTTTTTATGACTTTAGAGGAATTCCAGGGAAGAAATGTGGCACGATCATACTTACAGCAGAGGAATTAAACTGCTGCAGGGTAAGTAAATAATTCTATTATTATTAGTTTCTAGAAGTTCTACAACTTTTTCTCTAAATATTTTTGATTATTTTTATAGTTCTTTGCAAGTTACTCATAGTTACATTTTCTTTTTTATTTTTGGTATATAGTACATACTTACATTTTGCACACTGTGCATATTTCCAGTATTCTATGTTTGATTGTGCAGGAGACTCTAACACATGGTCCATTTTTCCTTCAGTGTTTCATGATACTTGAAAAAACTCATATATATTCTTTAATTTTTAATGTGAAAATATGTTGAGACGTAATTTGAAAGCAAACTCTTCCAGAGAGGTTTTGCCTTTACTAGGTACATATGATTGTTTTACTGAAACTGTATCCTTGCTTTGAAGTTTTTGTAACTACCCAGGTAGTGAAAATTAAGGCAGCAAGTTGAGGTCTGAATTTTTAGGAGACATTTTTTTCTTTTTCATTCATCACCAAGTGTTTAGGGGCAAGGATTAATTTTGTAGGTTCTTCCAAAGTGAATGTTTGTATCTAATTTCATGCTACACTCAGGCAGTACAGTCATTGTGATTCAAGCTTTATCCTGTGAGTTGGTCATTCATTGAATCCCCTACCTGGGAGTCCTCCCACCTTTTCTGTCTCTCATCTTTATGCCCTAGGAATTAATTAAAAAACAAGCCCTGGGTCAAATTCTCCAGGATCACCTCTGTGTTTCTGGCTTTCCATTTTCTGTTTCTGACAGGCTTTACTTTTTTGTCCTGTTAGCAGAACATTTATCAGAACCTTTTTCAAATTTTATTCATTATTTTAAAGTATTTTCAGATAGATGTCCAGTCAGGGTGTTTATTTAGTTAGCTGTAATGCTGAAAATGTCAATCTGGTGATTCACAAATAGATAGAAGGAAAAAGAAAGGTACAGCTGGATTAGAAAAATGAACTGATTATAGATGCTAGAAGGATGCTAAAAATGATGTGTACTATTCTAAGAAAAAAAATGCAAGGATAAATTAATTGATCTCTTAGTCATAAAGACCTGGAGAAAATGGAAGCTCCTGACATGTATAGTTACCTGAATTGGGGTTGAAAGTTCGAGAAGGCAAGATTTTATGACAGACAGCTTTCTGCACATGCTATGGGATGACGTTTTAGGCTCAAGACCATGTGGTGCTCCCCAGAAGAAATTTTAGACTAGGAAGAAAAAAAGAGTAGAGCAGTTTTACAGTAAGTATGATTTACACTGATATATTGACAACTCAGAATATGGTAATTTTCCAATCTCTTCCTTTGTTCCCAGTTAAGACATGAAGTCTCCAGTCCCTTTACACATGGGGAATGGGATTTATGTCTTTATTGTATACATGCTAGCATAGATTGTCAGGGATGAATTATATTCTTAAGGACAAAAACACTTGTGGGGCTCTGATACCACAATTTGTAGTTTCCAGGACAAGCAGAAGAGTCTGAACTCTGATTTATTGTAGGACGAAAGAAGCATGAATTCATCTTTAGAGCATTAGGATTATGTTTGGAGGATTCTCATGGCCTGTCTCTCTGTACCCTTAAGTAAAGTGGGGAGCCTTGCACACACCTTCCATTTTCCTCACAGACTTTTCCCTTGAAGGTAGGTGTAAGAGCATAAACACAGCAGAGACACATATAAAGAGAATTGGGAGTTTTATTTTGCTCATGTATTGTATATTTTCCGTACATATCGAGCACCTGTTATGTGTAGATACCCTCCTTTGTTGGTTTGCATGAGGTTTATGTCAGAAGTGTTGCACCTACAGAACTTAAAATCAACTTGAGAAAAGAAAGGGTAAAAACATGCGATTGTAACACGTTAGGGATAATTAAGTTCTAAACCTGTGGTACTGGGGAGAAAGCTGTGCTTTGTGTGAGGTTGACCGGGGGAAAAGTTTCCTGTAACAAATGGAACTTCATTTGGGGATATGGAAAATTTATATTTATGTGGGAATAGGAAATGAATCACACACGATGGTATGTCAGGGAGTGGGAACGGGCACAAAGAAGGGAGAACTAAACACAAAGAAGTAACTGTATTGATGAAAGGAGATAGAAATACTGAAAATCAAGGTTAGAAATAGGCTTTAGTCACATAACAGAAATCTTACAAACCATGGGAGAAAGTTTTATTCTATTATAGACATATTGGTTTGGATTATATTACGTATCACAGTTAATATGAAGCTACTGAAATTCTTGGGCAGAGGGCTGACATGGAAGTGATCAAAGTTTAGCTTCATCAGGAAATGTAGACTATAGGATACTAAATGGGATAAATTTATGGGATAAACTTAAGGTCGAAACTTGGGAAAACCCTACCTATGAATAATGTGCTCTTTATTTGGTTATTTAAAAATAAAATATGTATTAATTTATATTACATAATTTAAAATATTAATGGGCATAAATGTATTTTTTATGACTTTAGAGGAATTCCAGGGAAGAAATGTGGCACGATCATACTTACAGCAGAGGAATTAAACTGCTGCAGGGTAAGTAAATATTTCTTTGGTTTAAAAAGTATTTCCAGCACTTCCTTGAAATGGTATTTGTGAAACTATATTTAAATGTTTAATTTGTAAGTAATTTTAGCAAAAAATAATAAAAACGATATAATAAAAAAATAATATAAATAATTCTATTATTTATAAAATACCATTTTAAATATTTAGTACTTTAACCATGAAGGCTACATTCCATAGTCCGAAAAAGGATAATCAGTTATTTTGACAACCTTTTTAATGAATAGAAGTTATTAAACTAATACCTAATGCCAATATCATTTGGGGGGGGGCACTAATAAAAGGAATTGTCAATGGTACTAAACAGTTCAGTTCTTGCAAAAATTCTGAAGACTGACTGACGTGTGATTCTGAAGGTATATTTCTAGTCACTTGACTTTAGCCCTTTTGTGTGACATACTTGTTTTTCCACATTTCTAATTGAGTTAATTCAGAATTTATATAGGATCCCATCTTTCTTTCATTAGCTTGTGAAGCCAACATTTGAAGAAAGGGCCAGCTACCATGTCCAAATGAGGACGTGGATTACACAGCATTTTTAGAGAACTGCTATTTTTAGTTGTCATTTGCTGAGTCATCATTGACTCACGTTTGGTGATGAAGCAAGTGGATGGCTGTGACCGTCCACACCAGAAGCAAGGGCGGCTCCCTGAATCTGAAGCCAGTATTGTCTATTTCATGTGGCCCAGTGGATCCCTGGGAATTATTATTTCTGGGTGAATAAAAATGTTTGCCCTAGATTATACCTCTATGGCTGCTCATTTCCAACTTCCACTTCATGATTTTAGGAATAGAAGTTTCCAAATATCAACAACTTAATATTTTGACATTGGTCACAGTTTCCCTGTAGAATGCTGTTATTATCTGAGTTTGTGACTTTAATCTCTAGAGGGTTTCTTTTTTTTTAAGATAACTACTATGGTTTCTGAGCTAGTATGGTCAGAAATCCATATGATACTACTTGCTAGCAAATGGTGGAAATGGATTTGGGGCTGGGGGTGGTGATCAGCGAAACAATACAAGGAAAACATAAGAACAGGCTTGTGGAAGTAATTAAACAAAAATATGAGAATTCAGAGTGTTAAAATGCATTCAGATGGAGGCCTTCCTCTCCTCTCTCCATTGTCTTTATGTCCCGCAGGTCATGGCCACTTCAGTCAGTTTTCTCACGTATAAAATGCCCGGAACTACTCGCAGTGTAATGCTGCTAATGACCTTCAGACTGAGTTGGGTTCTGGTTTCGCTTTAATTTGTACTTGGTTTAATCAAACCACTTGACTGCTCTGTTTTACTTTCCATATTTGCAGGGGAGAAAGAAGCCAAGTCACTAGAATATTTTTAAAAACGTCTCCCAGCTCTTATAATTGACTACCATAGCATTAAATCTGAAAATATAATGTATGTGATAAATTATAATATGTATCGAAATACAGTCCACACTCTTGCATTTTGTGTATGCTGAAAGGGCCTTGCAGAATAAAAATACAATTATTTAATTGTAGATATATTTCCTACCAAAATGTTTTTGGTTAAAATGACACAATGATTTCTTTCAATATCATCTAGTCATCTTTTCTACTTCTTGTCTCTGAATGTGTATATGTGTGTGATAATATGTGTTTTGTATGATGAAGGAGGAAAGAGAAAAGGATGTTCAAGGTCATTAAGATATATGTTCTTTATGGTGACATTAACATGCTATCTGGTCAAAATCTTGGCATGAAGATGCTTTGTGTAAATATTTATGTGCCAATAAACACATTATTATTCTCTTTCAAAATAGAATCAAGACTCCAAGGGCATAGATTGAGGATGGCCATGTTGCATCTTAATTATCTTCTGCTTTCAATTCTGTTGTTTTGTTTGAAAGAACAGGAAAATTCTTCTAAAGTTTCCATGCAAGTGAAGCAGAAACTGTTCCTTAATGATTTAGAGGCATCTTACCTCTCTTTCTCCTATTAATCCTTCTGAACATCTGGAATTATCTTTTAATAAGTAAACACATTTATCTCATTCTTCGAAGTTATAGAACTAATATTTCTGAAATAGAATCTTGATCTAATTCACTAATGTATCCTGGGTTCAGATTTTTAGCCACAGCCTTTTTGATAATCAGCATCATTATTAAGACAAATCTTGGAATAATGCGACTATACTAGTATAGCAGTAGAAACAAGTGTATTCAAAGCAATGTTCATGTTTATTTCAGAGGAGACCCTGCCTTTTCAATGTACAGAGTACTTCAAAGTATTAGTGGTAATGATCACTTAGAATTTCAGATGAAATCATTTCATTTCACATCAACATCATACAAATTGACATTTTTCTTTCTTTAAAACCCATGGTCAGTCATAAACTTGAGCATCAGCTTTGGAGAGTCTGACTCCTCAGTTTCCGTCTTGTCTCTTTCATTATTCAGCCGAGTGAGGTTATGTTCTTGGCACTTTTATTTCTGCATTTGTAAAATGCTTAAAGTCTTAATACCTCCCCCAGATGGTTACTTTTCAGAGTAAAAAAGATATGACATTTGACAGATATGTAAATTATAAATTTATACAAATGCTTGTTTTTAGTGTAATCATCCTAATTATCTCAACCTACTATTACATAGTTCAATTTAAATGCAACTTTTGTAACATATCTAGTCAAATGCCACAGTCAGAATTAATGTAATCTTGAAGTCATATTAGGGCTATTTCTTCACTCAGTATTTTTAAAGTAGGTTGAAATTATCCACAAATAATATTTTCATTCTAATTGATTGAACAATATTCAACTAAGTGTACAATGATCGAGTCCGTAGAATGGCTGCTTGGAAATACAGTACAGTAGTGAGAAATAACAGCCACAAACTGTTCTGGTCCTTGCCTTTAAGAAACATGTAATTTGTGGGAAAGACAGACGTTGATCAGATGACTATGCAGGTAAATATATCGTGATATTGTACGTAGTGATCAAATAAGATAGAGTATAGTGATGAATCTAGTTTATACTGGGGAGGGGGTCCCTGCAGCCCTCTTTGAGAAAACTACATTTAATCTTAGCCCCGAGGAATGGTCTGCCAGCCAAAGGGTAAGAATTTCCAGTAGAGCGGACAGCTTGTGTAAGGTGCTAAGGGGGGAAAGGAGTGTGTCTGGTGTGTGGTGCAAGGGACCAGCAGGGGTGGGGGATGATGGAGGAAAAACTTCACCGAATGAAAGCAGAAAGTGCTGCTTGGAGCCCCTTGCTGTCGGGCTTTGTGCACTATGTTAAAGATTCCGTGTTTACGCTAAAGGCAAAGGAAAGCCTTGAAGCATTTTAAGTTAGTGAGCAACATTGTTTCTATCTTGTTTTGTGAATGTTCCTCCTTGTGCTCAGTAGAGATTGGATTGGATAAGGTCCAAGAGTAGAAGAGGGAAAAAGGAACAAGTGCCGCCATGCATGTCCTGGTGACAGACGAGGCTGGCGTGGACTAAGGTGCTGACAGGGTAGCAGGAGTGGAGTGAAGGTTTGAGAACTGTTTAAAAGGTGGAATGATGCAACCCGGTGGCGGACTGCATGAAGGGTCAGGAGAAGGGGTGAGTCGAGGACAGCTCTCTTAACCCTTGAGTGGACGAGGAGCCACCGACTGGATTAGACTGGGAAAACTGCAGGAGAAGCGAGTTAGACTTGAACCTGTCAGAAAAGCCTGTGAAACTTTCTTCAGTAGCAAGTTTCCTTTACTTGTGTGAAGTATTGAAGGATCGTGAAATTCTCACTGTACCAATACATTAAACATCAAGGGGCTAAAAAACACCTTTGCCAGGATGCTTGTGTAATTCTAAAAAGTAAGTAAATGCTTATTTTTTTTCCCCAGAAAATAGATTTCTTTTATTCTTGAGACAGATAGAATCCCTCCTAAGTTATTAACCTGGGTAGTTGCAAAAAATATTTTCCCCAAGTTTATATAATGGTGCATTGAAACAAACTTTTATTTTGGGTCGGGCATTTGTTTTGCCAGCCTTAAGGAGTACAATTTGAAAAAGTACATCTTGCTGTTACATTTATGAGTGGTCATACAAAAATTCATGCTTTCTGATGTTTTATTCACAGTTTGAAATATATACATGTCTTTGCCTATTATGCATTTTAAGTATATCAGAATGTTTTTTGAAAGCTTGATTTTTGATACAGGTGTTTTGGGAGAATGTCTTTTTTTCTGTGGCAAGAACAACGCCCTTTTCCCACGTCCTTAGAAAGGCCACTCTCTCCCCAGGGCATTTTAATATCTGTGAAGGTGAAAGGGTGTCTGAAACTAAACCAAACAATACAAAGCCCTGTCTTTCCTTTTCAGTTTAGCCTTGGTTTTGGAGTTTGGTGATCAGAGATTCTCTCACCGCTAGCCTTAATAGATCATATAGAATGTTTTTATCTTTAAACGTCAAATCTGAGAAGTGTTCATGGCTGAGGGGTTTGAGGTGTCTCTGATGAGCACACTGTTCTTGCCTGTGCCCCTTTAATTTTCTTTAAAATGTATATTGTCACTATACCCGCTTGGAAGTGTATTTCCTGCCCTGTTACGAGTGTTCCTCTGGCAGAAGTTGTCACATCTAGATGCTGAATAACAAAGTAAAATGACACAACACCAATGCTTTTAACAACGAGAAACCTAGAGCTGTGAATTTCTCCAAGGGCAGAGATGTCTTTTGTCCGTTGTTTTATTCCCAGATTCTAGCCTGAGTATTGCTTGAGAAATGTTTGCTAAGTATGGGTATGAATTAATAAGTGAAATGATAGGTAGCATCATCTCTTGGCTAGTGTTCTGGAATCGCTGACAGGAAATAATGAGAACTTTATATGGGAGCTTATTAAATATTGTTGACTCTGCAAAAATAAAGAAAACAGTGATTAAGAGAGTACCCATTCAGTCTCTGTTAACATTTTCACCAAATAGTACATAAAACTGTGACGTCTACTTTGACCCTCTTTTCAATATTGTTAGCATCTCCTTTCAGTTAAAAAACCAAACATACCCAAAACACTGGTTTTAAATTTAAAATTACTATATATTTTCTGCCTTTTCAAAATACTTACCTGACCCAGTGTTGAATAATGTTAAACTTCTTTGATACATGGTATTCCAGCTTGTTTACCTTTAAGCTAAACCATTACTTAAGCTTGTAGATTACAAGTGCTTGAGTATATAAATTAATAAAAATGATTCGTTTTCATTAATAATTAGCATGCAAATATGTAATTTGAATTACAGATGAAAATGAGAGGGCTATACTTTTATATATGGGAGGCTCCATATATAAAAATAACTTTGAAATGTAGCTATTGAGACATTGTGGTGCACTTTTTTTTTTAATTGTTTTTTTATTTATGGTTACTGGACTCCCCCCATTATCAAGTCCTCCCTACATACCCCATTACAGTCACTGTGCATCAGCGTAGTAAGATGCTATAGAATCACTACTTGTCTTCTCTGTATATACTGCCTTTCCCGTGCCCCCCCTCCACCGCTACATTATGTGTGCTAATCGTAATGCCCCTTTTTCCCCTTATCCCTCCCTTCCCACCCATCCTCCCCTGTCCCTTTTGTGTAATTAGGAAGGAACGTTTTTGCCACTTTGTACTGTGAATAGTGTGATCGGTTGATGGGTCTGGATCTGTCTAATGCCTCATCTGATACAAGCCATATATCTAGTAGATGCTTATTAAATATTTCCTGAGAAAGTTAAAAAAAAGAACTTATGTTCTAAAAATGTATACTTGAATAACTGAAGATATGAATAAATATAATATTGGGTACTTAGAGTCATCTAACTTAATATCACTTTTCCGTTATAATAGAAAATATTAGAAATTCTTGAAAAGTAATAGTTCTGTGACTCGAACAAAGACTTCCAGAGTCAATTTCTTAGGTTCAGTCCTTTAAAATGCAGTTTTATGTGGTTGGGGATTCCTGGCCATACACATTAAATGGAAAATGTATTTTGCTGTCAAGTCTTGCTTGTGATCTGTAGTTTCTAGTTATTCATAACCCCGGTTTTGAGCTACTGTATTAATCTTGCTTGTAGGATGCTGTCCTGATGCAATTTTGTGCTAACAAATTGGACAAGAAGGACTTCTTTGGAAAATCAGATCCTTTTCTGGTGTTTTATAGAAGTAATGAAGATGGCAGGTATATTTATCTTTTATGCATTTAAACTCTACGGTGAGGATGATATTTGAGTCATTTTTTTCAGAGAAGCTAATTATATTGATAACAGTAAAATAGTTTGGTATTTAAAAAGTTGATGTGATTTTTGCATCTCAGTAACTATAATCTTATAAGGATTTTATGTTTTGTTTGATATTTAAGATGAATAGTATTTGGCCTCATAGAAACATTTCCCTTTTACTTTTCCTAAAGTTATAATATTGCCTGAATAGTGTGGACAAATTATATTTTTGTGGAAATCTAAAATGCTGAAATAAATATATTTTGTTAGAGAACTGAACTCCTAAATCATTTCCTTGGAGAAGGATGTGGATTTTATGGGCTGCTTTTCTACTACTGGGCTTTTTTCCTAACATTCAATAAAATATTTCATTTTTTACCAGTCATGGTAATATGAGTATTTTTACCAGTCATGACTAGATTGATTTCTGTGTGGTTAGAAAATATATCCATGTGTTATAGGGCATAATTTAAAATATATGACTGTACCATTAAATGTATCTCATTATTGTTTTCTGTGATTTATTCTGTCAGTATTCATGGAAATGTTTAGGGTTAAAATTTTGGGCTAAGATTCAGTTTCTTAGATTTAATCATGACCTCACTGCTTAAAAGCTATGGGACCACAGGGAAGTCTTATAATTGGTAGGAGACTCAGTTTCTGCATCTGTAAAATGAGTTAATAATCATTGTACCTCACAGACTGTGGAGTGGAGAGCATTGAAAGAGTTACTGCCCCCAAAAAACATTTAGAAGCTTGACTAACACATAAGAATAATTTAAATGTTAGCTGTTATTATAATTGTGGTAGTGTTCTTACTATAGTATAATGTTTTCCTGATTTGTTTTCTTTGTGCATATGAAAATATTAGCTAAAGAGAAAATCATTTAGAGATTAAAAATGAGAGGAAAAGATGAAGAAGAAAAAAACCCTCATTTCCGCTATGCTTCTAGTGACTGCTTTTTACGCAGCATATTAATGTTATGTAATGAGTGGAAAGTATAAAAGTGTAAAACATTACATAAAAATTGAAACTTTGCCATTTCAAGTGAATGCAACTGGGCAGTGTAACATGACGCTCTACTTACTGTGGCTTTTTGTTGCAGCGAAGGGGCAGCTGTTAGTTGTTTTTCTCATGTCATATTGTCGGATTTTGCTTACTTCCCTTCTGTTTTGAAGATAAACATGTCAGTAGCATTTGCTTCTGAACACTCATTTTGTCCATATGAGAAATATTAGACAAAGAAGAAATAACCATATTTTCAAGTAACTTACAGGTACTGAAAAACTGAAGAGTGGCTTAAATTTCTTGAATCCAGTGTTCTTATGTTTCCTCCTTTGTGAACTACTCATTTCCTGAATTTTCTGTTTTTATTCTTATTAGTCTTCTTTATTTACAAAGATTAATTAGTTGTACAGTTACAGAATTTTAGTCTATCACACATTTAATGCTACTGATGAGAGTTGTATTACAAAAATGTATTATGCTTGTGAAAATACTTTCACTTATTCATTGGAATGATATCTAAATAGTAAAAGAGTACAATTAATCCAAAAACCTCAAATCATTTAAAAATAACTATTGCTATGGTTTGGTGAATCTCATTTTAGAAAACTGTCCACTGGTTTTGATGAGTTTTGAATGGTAAAAATGAGAACATTTTCTTTTGGGGGTTAGGGGTAGTATGGTACTTAGGAATAATAATGTGTAATAGTCTCCTGCTCTGACAGTTAGAGGGATCCCTGTGTTGGGAACAATTCATGACTACGGTCGCAGTGAGGGTTGGGTTTAGGTATCATTCTAACCAAGATTATTTTAAACATTTCAGAGCTCCTTGACTACACATAAATTTACATTGGGTAAGAATGTTTCCAGGGCCAGATTGATGTCTGGAGATTAAATGGTTTGGTGAAATAACCCTGGAATTTGAATCAAAACGGAGTTCAAAGCTCCATGAAAATTCTCCTCCTTGCTGTGTTCTTGGATTGCTCTCTTCCTTCTAGGAATTCCTTAGATATATAGAGTCAACAGTTTGAATAACGGACCGCACGCCGAGTGGTCTCACTATAAATTCCTGACGCTCATCTTAAATAAGCCCTTGCACCTCTCCAGGAATCCTTCTCCTTCCCCCAACCCATCAACGCTCTCTCACGCAGATGTGTCGCTCTTCGCCCTCCTCTTTCTTTGCTGATGATCATGCTTCCTATTTCATAAGAAAATGGGAGCATCTGGAGAATTTCCCCCTGCACGCACGCCAGCATGTACCCGCGTTCCCTGCCTTCCGCCGTGTTCCTGCAGACTGACTGTCTGGGCTCCCGGGCAGCTCTTCCATGAATTCCCTGACCGCCGTCCACTTTCATCTACTTGAGGACGTTGCTCAGCCCTTCTCCTCTCTCTCAAGCATCATTAACTGTTTCCTCTACATTGGATCTTCTTTCCTTCAGCACACAGCCTTGCTCTTACTCCTTCCGTCTTGAAGAAAAATTAAGAAGTAACAAAAAAACCAAGCCTTTCTCTTGACTCATCTTTCCCTTCCTGCTACCCCCAGTCTATCTTTTTCTTTTATAGCTCAGCTCCTCAAAAATGCTGTTTGCACACGCTGCCTCAGTTCTCGTCTCTCCCCTGAACCCCTTCCAAGCAGGTTTTGTCCCCGGCATTCCAGCAGAGGGTTCCTGGTGGCTTTCATGTTCTTAGCAACCCGTGAAGGTTTTTTACTGAATCAATATGTCACCACAATTTATAGAGATTATTCACAAAACAGCTTTAGGATTTGTTGAATCTGCAAAAGATCATTTTTGGTAAACTTAGGACAAAAATCTCATTGCTTTATAGTATAGTGAGCTAATCTTCAAAGTTTTAAAACCACAGATCTCCTGTTAAATGACACAGCAGTAGCAGAGGGACTGGCGACATTCTGCACAAAAAGAAAGAGGAGAATGACTACAGTATATCATCAGGGAATCATGATTATAGTGGAAAACGTTCCTTTTTTTTTTTTTTACAGTTTTACTATTTGTCATAAAACAGAAGTTGTCAAAAATACTCTAAACCCTGTATGGCAAGCATTCAAGATCTCAGTCAGAGCGTTATGTAATGGCGATTACGACAGGTAAACTAAATGACAGCTTTTCTGAGTTTTGACTATTCACTGTAGATTTTGTAGCCAATAATAATCTGTTGGACCTTTTAAAAAGGTGGCTTCTTTGTCTCTGTGTATTTAATGTATATTACCAGATCATGGATGATTTATTCAGGAATTTTTAAATACCTGTATTTTAATCCACAGTGAATTGGGGAAGAGGCATAATTTGATTATGAAGGTTTGGTTAAACTGACGGATTTTCTATGAACAAAGATATGCAAAGTGCTTAAATATATCAAATAATAGTTTGGGTTTTAACATATTATTCAAAAGTCTCCCCAGAATTTTCTTTGCTTCAAAGTTCCCATTAGGCGTTACCTCTCTGTGGAGCAAGTAAGTGAACGAGAGAAACAAGCTTATGATTAGATATATTATCAACCCTGACATACTTTTGAAAATGCTGTTTGGCATCACTGTTCCCATGGCTTCTGAATCATAAAAGCCCTCGAACAGGGAGATGGGTTGTGGCATTTTACAAGTAGGTAGACGAGGTGGCCCTGAAGTTCTTGGCACAATATACCTGCAGATTTCTTAATATCAAAGTTATTTTCTTTTTCTTATGAAAGCTGATTGTAAGGATATAGTACAAAAATTTTTACTCACCCCAAAAGAAAATTAAATGAAGTTATTTTATTTTTCTTGTTCCTTGTCTATTAGAAAAATGCAAAGCTGTTCAATTCACTGATATCATAGAAGGAATGATTTATTATCAATATGTCATTAAATTTACTTTAAAATTTATCCAGCCCCTTGACTATCATTTTATTCATTTAATAATATCCTAATTTTATTTGCTTGAACTCAGTCTTTCTCCAAGAAAGTAGTTCTTACAAAGTGGTTCCTGATTGACAGCATCAGAGTCATCTGGTAAACCTCATAGCCGTCCAGCTCTGTATGCCCCAGGGCAGGTCTACTTAGCTAGAAATTGTGGGCGTGAAGTCCAGCAATCCCCGTTTGGACAAGCCTTCCTTGTGACTGATCCATTCTGAGTTTGAACAATCCCGCTCTAACACAGTGTTTTGTTAGGAGTTATGTCAAATTACACATGCTCCTCACATATACTTTCCCTCTCTGTTTAAAGAATACAGATTCTAGAAAACTATTTAAAGATGTAAATTGAAGTAGTCAAATTAGCAAAATCAACCTGGAACTATTTTGTAAAACTTACAAGCATACACTATTTTATCTAAGAAAATCTACAACTGATTTTTAAATTCTCCGTCACATGTCATTTTGATGTACTGAGTAACTTTACTATCTGTGTTTTCCCCACGGACAGAACAATCAAAGTGGAGGTATATGATTGGGATCGAGACGGGAGGTAAGACACTATGTTTTCTTTTATTCTCACTCTTGAAACAATACACTTTTAAGAAGCAAATACTCTGAAATGAGCCCATTTTTTTTTCATTTAAATTATCAGATTGCTTATTTTGTCCTGTTTTTCCAAACACTGAGGTGCTTACATGAGATTTTAAGAATAACGGTAATGTTTTCAACTTGGAGAATAAAATAGAGGTCTTCCACATTTCCAGCAACATAGTAAAGCCGCTCAGCTTGGACCTGATTTGTCATTGCATACAATTTATGGATGTTTGTTTCATAGCTGCAAAGTTGTGATTCTCAAGTCTCTGTATCTCACAATCTCTTGAAGATTCCTATAATTTTTCTGCCCCATATTATTCATGGAAACACACTTGAGTATCCCTGAACTTTGCACCCCGACACCTCCCCCCCAAGAAGGACACACATCTCACAAGTAAATAACAAAACAAAGCCCTAGATTTATGTCTGGTGATTTCAGAGCTGGAAATCTTGGTCTCCCTCTGCAGACCACAGCAGATGTGAAAAACTAAGAGTGGGAACACACTCCTTTTCTTATTTCTTCTTCAAGAACTTTCCCCCTGTTTGTACTGCTTTAAGTAGGGTTGGTACTGAGTTGTTTTTCAATGACGTGAGGCCGTGGACCCAGAATGCCCACATCTCCCCTCTCTAGGTACTTCCTGAGGAGACTGAGCGTACAGATGCCGAAGAAGAAAGACAGATGGGAAAGCAAAGGGCACTTAATTTCTTTAGTCCAAAATGTTGATCTGTATCGTAATATGCAGAATTTCAGTGTGCACTTCTCTGTTATCCATATGCACGAAAACACCCTCTTTCGATATTAGCAGAATTATCAGTGTGTGGCTGACATACAAAAAGCAATATTAAAACTATGATTAAATAATTCTTGATAACTCTTTCAACCACCTAATATTACTTATGAAATTTGAGGGGCACATTAGATGCCAATAAAACAGACATTAATTTTATAATATAATGATATTATGCATTATGTGGATTGTTACACAACTTGATATTTCAGCTTGCAACCACATGTGATATAATCACATGGTTATACTTTTTTACTTTTATGCATTTTTGTTTATCTGACATAATTTCCCACTCTAGATATTCTTTACTAATCACAGAGAATATGATATGCCACCTATTTTATTTCCTGATACAATGAAATTATCAGCAGAGACTATTTCCTATTCTTTGTTTCATTGTCGTTTTTAATATTTGTCATAAATCCTGTTCATGTACCATTTTTAAAATTCTCTATTGAGAACTTTTGATTCTTCCCTTTAGAAATAATTATTTGCTTAGTGGATTCCTTTTTTTTTTTTTTGACAGACCAGCATTATCCAATAGACATATGATGCAAGTAACATATGTAATTTAAAATTTCCTAGTAGAAACATTGAAAAGTAAAAACCAACCAGTGAAATTGATGCAGTAATATATGCAATAATATAGTTTATTTATCCCTGTATGTACAAAATGTTATCATTCTAATATGGGGTCAATATAAAAATATTAGTGAGAAATTTTACATTTTCTATAGTAAGTCTTTGGAATCTGATACGTATTTATGCTTACAGCACATCTCAGTTCAGGCTGGCTACATTTCAAGTGCCCTGCAGACATCTGGTGGTTGGGCTCTATATTGGACAGCACCATGTGGAAATCAATGCAGCCCATACAATATGCATCATAAGTAATTTTATCACTTAATTTGTTTTATTTTAAATCAGTTTTATTTGTCAACATTTAATAGAAGTTTAGAGTGGTCCCCCTTATAAAGTGGGGAAAAAACTGGTCATATATATACATTTTGTGTATAAATTTAACCATAAGAAACCAGTAAAGTAATCTAATCTTTCAATCTAGAGAGAATATTTCAGTAACAAATTCAAGTGAAAGATGCTTGACAGTGTTATTTGATCACAATCACGTTTTGTATTACCAGCTTGGCTACTTCAGGTAATGGAGGTGATAATTGTAGTCACAGATCAGGAACTTGAACTTGAGGAAGTGGTGTGATCTTGGGTCAGAAATCTAATGGTATGTTTGACTCAGTTCATCAACTTGAAATTAATTCTGCAACAAACGTTTGCGTGCCTGTGAGGCATACAATAATGCGGGAATGCTTGTGAGCAAGTGACCAGCTGACGTTGAAATGGGTATCCTGAGGGGACTGTGAATAGAAGAAATATAGTCATTTGTCCTTTTTTATTTGAACACACTGACAGTGGTCTGAGAGTGTAGAGGCATTGTTTCCCCTTGGTGTGGACAATCAGTTTAAATGTACTTAATTTTCAACAAGTTAAACCCCTTTACTAAACTCATCCCCATAATTCCCACCATTTCTTCCAGGGGAGTGAAGGAAGAACATTTAATCCTCATTTTAACAATCGCAAAGCTTAAGTGCTGAGACACTGACTCGCTGGGTTTCACAGCAATCAGGGGCGGGGTATCCTTGAAAACCTTCAGTTGCTTCAAGTTGCTTCCATTGACTCTGTAGAGTAATTTAAAATCCAGGCAGCATTAATGGAGCAGCTCTGCGTTAAAAAAAAACCCTGTGGCTCTAACGCGGGCTGACTGTAAACGGGCCACCAAGCAGATCGCTGTCTCCCAAAATACGATGAACTGATGAAGAGGCTGAGCGAGCGAGCTGTCAGTCACAAAATGTGGCTTGTGCCATCTGCTGAACAGAGAAAGTAAAGTCTCATTATTAACTCTCTTCATTTTATCAAATGCAGTCATCTGAAATAGTGAGACTTAATGTAACTAAGTACTAACTTCCTTTATCTATGAAATGCTAGACAAATGCTATCATTTTCTAGTGTGAGTGCCACCAATGGAGATAATATTTGATAAAATAATTAGATATTTCATTTCTGCGATTGTGTATCATCATGGTGTGGAATCACGATGATTTTTGATCCAGTGTTTCATCAAGAACTTGCAAGTTGTCTCAGACACTGTAGCTCATTTAGGAGGAGCGCGTGTAAACCTTTTATATTTTTCTCACTTATTTTAAATTTCCTTATTTATTCTAATTAATCTTTTCCTACTAATAGCCTTCTCTTTGCTGACAGTTGACCCTGAATATCCAAAACATGTGTTCACTAGACAAGATTCAGTCTCTTTCCTGTTCCATTACTTATTCCTTTTTTCAGACTTTTAAAAGATGTTGATAAATAGAATTTCATACTCTATATCTTTTTGCTAACATACTGTTTTTTCTTCCACCTGCTGAAAAGTTTGGTTGTGATCTTTTCTCTACATGTACCTTCTGGGTCTTTGTCCCCTTGTCCCCCCTTCAATCTGTAATTCCTGCCCTCATGAAAGACTGATTTAATTATCTGTATGTTCAATACCTGGAGTGGTAATGAGTGTTTTACCCCTGTGTGTTTTCTGTGTGTCTTTATTTTTTATGCTCCAGTAGCAATTCCATGAGTTAATTTTGGAAGAAATTGTTATTGAGCGTATGTGCTAAACAATTTCCCAGGTGACATGATTAACAAAGAACTCCAATCTTTATGCAACAATATTTTAATTTTCTTTAATCTTTTTTTTTTAGTATTCTTACACTTCTGCGTTCATTTTTGCCTGTTGTTCTTTCATTGTTGTTCAGGGCCAATTTAAATACCATCCGTTGTCTGGAAGCTTTCTTCAGACATCTAAATCCATGAAATTCCTCTCTCCCTCGTGTTGTGTTTACCATTTAGGAATGTTTACTACTATATCTAACACATTGAGACTTATGCCAAAGTTTTGTTTTTGCTTTAACTTTCATACTGAATTGTAAACTCCCTGAGATTAAGAGCTGTATGTTCCTCCCAGTGTAGATAACGCCTTTACTCTAGGGCCTTCTTGTCCTGTCACTTCATATTACAGAAAGAAGTATTTGAAATAGCTGCGTTGTCTTTCTAATGAACTCTCAATCCTCCATCAGTTCTTGTTTCGTATCTCCTCATTTCCACCCCTCACTTGAATTTATGAAATTATCTTGAATATTAGAGCTTTTATTTCTCTGGTGAAACTTCAGGCAGTGAGTGATTAATTCAGCTGTCATTTTCTCAGTATTTTCCTTCACAATTTGCAGACATTTTAGATTTTATATTTACTTATCTATGATCTTCTTGTCATACAGATTAATGTCCTGCTTTATTCCATGTTCACATACTGACAACTTTCACCAACTCAACAGAAAAAATCATCGAATTCATGTCAACAGATATATTTGTAGCATAAATTTTGACTTTTGGTCACCTTACTATTTAATTCATTTGTCTCCATCAGAACATCATCAGCCAATTTTGGAATATAAATTAATTTCTAATTTTAGTATGAGGCAATATTAGAATCCTTAGGGCTGGAAGGAACCTTTAGAGTTAACTCTATTTTCCAAGGGGAAGAATGAGCCTATTTAATTATGTCCAAGTTTGAATCAATCATCAAGTTCACCACTAAATAAAACCTTTCCTCTCGTAGGTTCTATTCCATTGTGAGATTACCAGGGGTGATACTCAAAATGTTTACCAACTTTCAAAATAGGTCATAGCTGTATAATAGGGTTAGTGTCCTAGAAGCCCTTTTCTCTGCCTTTTACTTGCTGGGTTAAGCAATGGCCTAAAGAGCCCAGGGAAGGTCCTTGGGAGCTGGGATAGTCGGAAGGCCCACAAGAGACCCTGAACAGGGGGTGAGTAGACAAATGTTTTTGTATTTTTACATTTACTTTGGTGTTCCCCATTTACACGCCTTGAGGATTATCTCCAGCTATCACCATAATCCCAGGCTTTGCAGACCCGAAAGAGTAAATCGTGTCGACGACTCCACCATATCCAGTCACTTGCCAGCTCCTCCATCTGTAAGAAAGAAAAAGGAAAATCATGCCATTATGGTCACTAGAGTGTGTTTATGGTTTTCCTAAATTTAATTCTGTAACTATTTATAATTTCCACTAGATTAAAAGATTAAATAAGTAGA